GCAGGGGCGGGTGGCCGCAGAGCAGCTCCGGCCGCGGCTACAGCAGCAGCGTGTTCGAACCCCGCTCCTGCTCCGCTTCTGTGCTCGCTCCCCCGGCCCCGGGGCCTCCCGCCGCCAGTCCCCGGCTGCTCGTCGCGCTGTGCGCTCTCCCCGCCGCCAGAATGCCGGTGACCGAGAAGGACTTGGCGGAGGACGCGCCGTGGAAGAAGATCCAGCAGAACACCTTCACGCGCTGGTGCAATGAGCACCTCAAGTGCGTGAACAAACGCATCGGGAACCTGCAGACCGACCTGAGCGACGGGCTGCGGCTCATCGCGCTGCTCGAGGTGCTCAGCCAGAAGCACATGTACCGCAAGTACCACCAGCGGCCCACCTTCCGCCAGATGCAGCTGGAGAACGTGTCCGTGGCGCTCGAGTTCCTGGACCGCGAGAGCATCAAGCTCGTGTCCATCGGTGAGTGCGGGGCCGGGCCGGGGTCCCCGGAGCGCGCGGTCGCTGCCCGCTGGGTGCGGGCGCGGAGGCCAGGGGCGGCCGTCCCTGGGGAGCGGACTAGGCACCCGGGCTCCTGCCCGGTGCCCTCGTGGGGCTGGGACCGGTGCGATCGTGCCCCACCGCGCGCCCGGGGCGGCTGTGGGCTGAGCGCTGAGCGCTGGGGCTGGGATCGCAGGTGGAGGTGTGGCTTTCCTCCGAACCTGGGGCGCCGGGGTCGGAGCCCGAGGACTGCAAACCCGCGGGGCGTCCGCAGGGGCGGGGCCCCAGCTTCGCTGCCCGGGAGCGCTCGCCCTCTGCCCCCAGCCCGTGCGCTCGGCGGCCACCGAATGGGCGTTGGCTCCGAGGCCGGGCGGGAGGGCTGCGGCGGGACCGTTCTCCGCGGTTGGAGCCTCCCGGCCTAGGTAGAGGCTGGGGCCCGGTTCCCTCCCAGCCTTCGCCGGAATGGGAATGGGTGTGGACCTGGAGGTTGGAAGAGGAGCGCGGGGGTGTGCCCTTCTCTTCTACTGCTCCCGGCCGGGCGCTTGCAGGTCCCCTCAGGTGGAGATAGTTTAGAGATGGTGGTGAGAATGGTAATTGCTCTTTTCTGCCATTTTTTGCGGTACAGAGAATTGAAATCAGGACCTCCGGCCTGCTAGGCCAGTGTTGTACCACCGAGGAATGCCCCCAGCCTTCTTATATTTTGTTTCAAGATGGGTTCTGGCCACAGGTTCCCCAGGCTGGCCACGAAGTTAGCACCCTCCTGTCTCAGCCTCCTGAAGAGCGGGGTTAAGCCTGTGCACCACCGCACTTGGTGGTGATTGCTGTCTTGAAGAGGGCCCCGCTGTGGCCTGCGGTGTCCACAGCCTTGTGAGTCCTTCTATATCCCCCCGCTGAGGTGCTCGCAGGCCATTTTACAGATAAGGGGCTCCAGAGGGTTGATTGACTTTGCCAAGTGTCACATAAGTAGGGTCCGGAATGGGAGACAGTGTGTGACAGTGAGGAGGCTTAGTTTCCCTACCCTGTCTCTAGGGTCTTCCAGAGGCGGAGGGAGGGAGCTGGTGTCGGGGGTCCCCTTCTGCTCTCCCTTGTGGCCCGCGGTAATTGGAGGCCTGCACAGGGCTTGCAGGGCTGCCCAGGATGTGGGCTGTGACAGCAGGGCCAGGGGCTGCGGTGCGTGTGTGTGCGCTCAGGCACGTGTGCGTACACCGTATGTATAGCTTGGGAAAAGTCTGGGTGTGCCTGCACTGTGGGTGTGCTGCTCGGGAGGGAGTGACTGGGTCTGGGGTCTCTAAGAAGGAAATAAGGGCTTATGAAAGAAAGGGAGGTGGGTGTGGCAGCTGGCACTTTCTCCTGTGGAAAAGGGGTTCCCTCCAGGCCGAGCTTCCGCCCAGCCCCGCCCAGCCCTTTCCCCACACCTGACCTGGCCGGTGGGGCTGCTTCCGGCTTCCTGGGACAGAGCTGCAGTGCCACTCTCCAGCCCTCTCAGGAGCCAGCCTGCCCTCCCAGCATGCTTCTCTTCAGAGCCAAGCTGCTGGGGGTGGGGTGCTGTTGTCTTCTTTGGGGGGGCCCTCTCTTCTACTGGGGAGGGAGAACCTCAGAATTCTGGAATTCTTTCCTTTTCAGAAACCAGCCTTTGAGGAATTTCAAGCCTGGCTGAGCTCGACTTGGATCCATACTTCTTTGTTTTAAAAATGTGTATTTATTTAATTAACTGCACAAAGAAATTTAAAGTAAGCCAGGAGTATCCAAACATGACATAAAATCTCTCTTAAAAAAAAGAAAAAAAAAGGAAACCGCAGCATCAGAAAATCCTAGACTGCCTGATTTACCAGCTGTTTACACAGGCGGCATCTGCTTCCAGCATGCCTTCACATCAGGGTTGAGTTTGTGGGTCCTGTTCTAGACCTTGCCGTGTCCCTTACATTTTTAAAATTGGTCCTCGAGGTTTTCTTTCATTTTTTCTTTTGTGGTATGAAATTGAACCCAGAGAGCTGTTGCACTGAGCTGCATCTCCAGCCCTTTTTACTTTTTAAACATTTTTTGGTGGGGGGGTATGGGGAAAATTTTGTCTCTACAGATGTTGACTTGCCCAAGCCAGGCTTCCTGCCTCTGCCTCCCTCCTGAGTAGCTGGGTCTAGAGGCTACTAGCTGGGATTACCAGTTCATTCCTGAACACTCCCGGCCTCAGACCTGCACTGTCCTGACCTTCCAGGCTTAGTTCTTCTCCAATGGGCCGGAAGGCTGTTTTAGCTTCTTTCTGTAGACCTTTCTTTCTTTCTTTCTTCCCTTTTTTTTTTTAAGCCCTCTTTCCACCACAAATTACATTGTTTTCTTTTTCAAATTGTATTTGAGACAGTGTCTTGTTTTACAGGGTGCATAGTCCAGGCTGGCCTCGAACCCACAATGTAGCCCAGACTGGCCTCGAACTTGTGGCAGCCCTGCTCCTGCCTCAGTGTCTGGGAGTGCTGGAATCGCAGACACGCACCACCACACCCAGCTTACTTTTCATTTTAAATTATTTTTTTCTGACATATTCCCGGAAGTGGCGTTCCTAGGTCAAAGGGTGTGACCACATTTATGACTCGTGCCTAGTTGCTCTCCAGAAAAATCTCAGAGCAAGCAGGCTTTCCAGCCTCTGGAGACCAGAGGGAGTCTAGTCAGGTGCCAGGACTGGTCTGAGGGTAAAGCCTGAGGCCTGCTGGCTCTGCCCCGGCGGCTGATGTGGGTTAATGGCCCTACCAGAAAGGAAGAAACAGACAAAAAGAAGTCATATCCAAGCAGGATTTTAGTTTTCTTCTTAAGGCTTATGTTATGTTCCCTTGTTCTGACAAGGACATTAGGTCTGTTTGGGGACACTTGCTACCTGTGTTCTGTTGATCACCTGCATTGAATATTCATGATGATCCTTGACAGCAATTACTGTCAAGCAGGTGACCCAACTAGCAAATACTGTCAACGGTGACTGAATTTGAGCCTTAACTGACTTTCCTTCCGGTGTCAGAGACGAGTACAATCCAGCTCTTCTCCGCCTCAGAGGCACCTGCAGCAGTAGGTTTTGCAGGTCTGGGTGTCAGGATGGCACGTGGTGTACCTGCACTTTGAACCTCTAGCCCCGGACCAAGCAGAGGTGTGAGGGCCTTGGGTGGGTGACAGGCCGGGTGTGATGAGGGTTCCAGGAGTTGAGTGGCCTGCCCTGCCGCTTAGGTGGGTGGTCAGATTGTGCCGTGTGTCCAGGCTGAATCTGTTGAGGAATGGCTGCTCCATCTTCCCCGGTGGCTTCTGGTTTTTGAGATTTCCTGCTACCCAGTGGATCATGTTTTACTCCACAATCAGGGAGGGCAGGATTGAATGAATACTGGGTTTTATGTGCTTTGGATGACTCCCAGCAGTGTACACTGTGGGAACTCTTAGAATCACGTTCCTGCACCCAGCCGGGAGACTGGAGGTGGTGCAGCTCCCGGAGACGCTGGTGGTTCTGCCCCGCGCCCAGCCCTGACTGCTTACTGCGGTGGTTCCCTGGAAGGTGGGCCCGCTCTAGGCTCCATCCCAAGGCTGAGGGTGTTCTTAGTTTCTTGTTATGTCCTGGGCAGTTCAGCATGTTTAGTTCTAGCTGTCTGCCAGGAGCTGGCAGTTTTATTTACTTGTTTTTCCAAAACCCTTTTTGACACCAGGCAGCCGAGCCAATTTGGAGAAAAAGGGGTCTCTCAGCTTGAGAATGAGTTCCAGGCTGCCTGGAAGTTTGGGCAGTGTGTTGAGGTTTGGTCCTGTAGAGACAGGAATGCTTTCCTTTTCAGAAGATGTGGCCTGACCCTAGGAGTTACTGGCCTTACCTGCGCCAGGCCGGCATAGCAGGCGGGGCTGCGTTCCCAAGGCGTCCGGTCCTGGGCAGTTTCCAGGGAGGCGGGAGGCCATCCACCCTGCACAGGCCCTTTTCCTTCCTCTCCCTTTTGTCCCGTCACCCCCAAACCAACGTACAAACAACCCTAAGTTCTGCTCTTTCCTGAACTGCCTGTGTCTCCTGGCCAGGGTAACCCAGACCGACAGAGTGCTTAAAGAGTAGCTTTGCGGTGTCGGAATTAACACCTGCTGCTCCTTTTGCATCCAGGTAGCACAACAGCCAGGGCCGTTGGGAGCAAGGAGTGCTGGCTCCAACCCCACTTGAGACAGAGTAGCTCTTAAGAAACTTCTGTGCCTTGGTTTCTTATTGATAAAACGGGATAACTACCTCCTTAAAGGTTGTTACAAAGATGTAAAACGTTAATATTTTAAAAAGTGGTTGAGGAAAAGAAGTGCTGGGAACAGTTTAGGTCATATATGCCAGTGCTTGTTCACTGAATAGGGTACTCCCTTAATACCTGGAGGGGTTTGCGCAGGCAAAGCGTACTTAAAGTTAGCGCTGCTCTGGGTAGGACTTCTTGGCTGGCTTGTGTTGATCCTACTTGCTAAAATAAAGTTAGGGGCTCCTGGGAGGGTGTCCCTACCTTGGTAGGCAGGTGCTTATGCCACTGAGCTATATCCCCAGCCCCCACCTACCTTGGAAGGGGATGACCCCTGGTGTATTATGGCTGCCTGCGGGCCCATTCACACCAGCTTTGTTTCTGGGAGCCGAGGCAGCTTGGTCATTCCAACCTCCCACCCGGTTCAGGAATCTCTGGGCCAAATCACTTCCAGATGGTGGTTGGGCCTCTGCGGAGCTCCTCCAGTGGTGGCGGAGCCAGCGTGCCAGTCAGCAGCCGCCTTCGGTCTTGGAGAGCTGGTGCTGAGGAGGACCCCGGGTGGGAGCCAGGTTCTGCCTGCAGACCCTCGCGGGCCCGGGTCTGGTTCTGCGCTTAGAGGCCAGTGTCGTGCAGTGGAGGGGGACTGTCCTGCTCCTTGGGCAGCAGATGCTCAGAACTAGAAGCTTTTAGGCCCTGCCTGCAGGGGCTCGAAGGTCCTAGTCATCCTCTTTTCTTTATGGTCAGTGCATGCTAGGAGCTGCTGGA